AGGGGACCGCTCTTCCCACCTGACGAGAAAAACTGGTGAAATTTGTTAGCAAGTCTGAAGTTTTTGTGATACGGTAGCTAGGAGAGTTGTAAGATGGGGTCAAGTTGACTGGCAAGCCAAATTCACTCATCATGCCCCAATTAAAAAACAATTCGTCTCGGGGGAGGGGTGCGGGGGCAAACGTCAGTGTTTTTATGCTTCCACGTCATTCTATTACCAATTGAGCACACTACGTTGATTGCAGACAGCGCTGCAAAACTACTATTCTCTTTTTCTAGGGTATAAAGCACACAGTCACTACAGAGTTTTCATGCGTTTTTATCTGAGACCTGTTCCGGATAATAAGTACTTCCAAGTCAACAAGAAGATTAAACTATACAAAAAACATCACAAAAAGCTGTCGCGGTGCTCAGAGACGCTTCACCGTGCTGTCTCGATCATGCGCCACACTCCAGAGAATCCCAGAAAATAGGCTGTTTCTCATAGGTGGTCGGAGCACCCACACGACGGCAAAATTTTGGTGAGCTTTGGTAAGATGGCAGGCAGATCGGGAGAAGAGCTTGGGTTTCAATGGGATAGGGGAGGTAGGTGGTTGTGTTCACCTAAAGCTGTAACCTATGTGCCCTGGTTGGGATGGTGGGCAATACATCCGCAATATGGGTGTGGGATCGACGCCACGCAAAACGGACGAGCTGTCCTGCCTGTCCATTCGAATTCGTTTGAGTTTCGCTTCTCCAATCGACTAATTGCGGATCTGCCGCGCACTGCCGCATATACTCTGCGCGCGGCGACGCCACAAATCACGACGGTCTTGTTCGTTTCTCAAAGCTTAGTTGGTTGTGCTGGGACTTTGTCCGATTCCTGACCCTCGGATCATGGGGGTGGTGGACTCCATCCCTGCGTCACAACACCTGGGCCACGAGCTGGTATATAGTGTAGTTCATTGCGGACGGTTGGGCGTGTTCGTGCGGCTGCGTTTGGCGCGGTGCCAAACTCGTTCTCCACGAGTTGTTCAAGCGAGCAAATGACAATACTGTATCATACCTTTCGTATTACTTGTTTTCTACTGCTTTTTGTCGCATGCCCGTTTCAACAAGAAGGCAGAGAACAGCTCAAAGAGGGTGACACACTCATACTGGCTGACACGCCCAACCGTCCGCAGCGAAGTAGAGTGTAGCTGCGATTCGCGTGAAGGAACCCCTAGGTGTCATTCGCTCACCTACAGCTGAACCACAACACTCGACTCCATTTTGAGTTATGGCGGCCAATGCGTAGCATTGAACTCCTTGAGTCTTGTACCGTTTCCCAGGCCGTGTGGCGCTGATATTTGAAGAAGGCATCGTCAGTGCAGTATACGCTTGCCATACCATCCCCGCTCGTACCAACTACCTTCCCAATCAATCATTTGACCGGGGAAACTACGAGTCAACTCGCTAGCATCCTATGTCGGGCTACTCACTCCTGCGAGCAAGGCACGTCAGGGAAGGGGAGGCTTATTTGGTCACTGTATTGAGGGCGTCGTACCATAGGGGGAAGCACAAGGGGGCCTTATTTCGCAAAATATCCCCCAACAGCAGAACGTGTTCTCCGTGCAAGGGGTTGAAGAGGCGGAGCCTAGCGCGATGCTTTACATAAAAGGCGTGGCTACATGAGAGTGAATCGTTCTGTGGTCATAACGATGGCTTCACTGCTCACATACATGGTCCTATTATTATTAACTATCTCCACTATTACTGCTGTAGTCGCAGAATATGAGCAACAAGTAGAAGATTGCCCCGTAGTGGAAGGTGGTCCATTATTTGAAGTTGCCGAAAAGATTTGCGAATTCTGCCACGAGATCACCAGCCATGAAAAACCGAATATGCGATCACAATGCAGGTTAGTGACACTTTTGAAGATCGTTTATACATTGTACTCGAGCGATTCGCCGGTGCGCTTCAAGAATTTCAAATTTCTGAAGGTTCATGTTACCCAAATCGCTCGACTACTTCGCGCCAGACCGCTAATCATTGGACCGCTACGTTGGGTCGCCATATCTTTGGTGTATCTGAATTGCAGTAGTCCTAGTATTAGCGGTCTTGAACTGTCGGTCACAGCCGCGAGATTGAAGCGGTCGAGTCGCGAAGTATGAACTTGGAAGCCTTATGAAAAGTAGCTTTGAAGTAGGGTAGGACTGAGATTCATAGCCGGCGATTCGGATGATTTGGCGAAGCGACTAGACGATTCCCTTGATGCTACTCCGTTTTCAAGCTAAAACAGCATTCAGTCCAAACCGCTAACTCCTAGCAACTGCCACAAATTAACGCCTTTAGCAGAGTGGCTCCGAGTGAGCAACAATAGGTATCTAACCAACTGATCCCGTGGTATGACCATCCTTGCTGACTTCAAATGCTCCTCGCAAACGCTCCAGGAGCAATTCGACCTGGTCCAGCGATTCGACCTGGTGGGGGCATCTCTCTATCTCCCATTGATCACTGCACGTGTCTCCTGTAGAGACCTGTGAAGTCCTGTAAAGCTGTGCGTAGCAGGAGACTCGTGCACCACCCTTTACAAAGTTTACGGTGGTCTGATCTCACTATGTGCTAACTCAAACAGACGAATAGTAACGCAGGTAACTAAGCGGGAAGCTACAATACCTCCCATTGACCGAACAGCACTTTTTCCTCGTCCTAGAATAGTTCAGAAACTATTTTGCAAGTACCTTTCGCGCTATTTATTCATGCGCTACACGACAACAATCCACAATCTACAGCTACAATCTTACAGCCGATTCCGCGAATAAGGAGCACGAACAGCTTTCGTAGCGAACTAGGAGCAAATAACTGCGCTTCAAAAGGTGCTAAATTCAGCAACATATTGTGATGTACTACTGACGTAGAATTACGTAGGCGCTGAAAAAGTTAGATTTAAAAAAAGCTCTCTGGCCATAAACAATACCCTATATCCAACCAAAAAAAACGTATCGCAGTCATTACTCCAACTTCACTTCATTCCCGGAAGATGCGAGAGGCAGGGCGTGGCTGCGCAATACACTAGAATGAGCTGGCAACTGTGCTTCTAACGTTCGCTTTATGGGGGGACAACTGTACTCATGCCGTTCTTGCGCACGTCAGGATGACAGCTCTACCGAATGGAAACATTCCACGAAAAACGCCTCATTCATATGAAGTTTGCAACCACGCTTTCTGCATTTCGGGATATTGAGTGTAGCCCTTTTGATATGGTGTGCCTAGCCTGTAAAGCTTGCCACCACTGATGTTGCGCCCCTGTCCACGGCGTTGGAAGTGGTACGAGCAATGCACCGGCGAAACTCCCATGACTGACTGCCCTGTGGGCCCACACCCATTCACGCTGGCTGGTACCCCCCTATGTATGTTCTATCGTTTATCGCTCTGTTCTCTCATCCTTTGCCTCTAACGTCTCCCCTAAATGGGGTCTTCTTCACTCTCGCTTATATGTACACTTAAAATCCCTGATATGCGGCAGGCGTGGTTGCGTACTTGACTTGAATTTGGTGGAAGGTGAGCTTTTCATGAGAAATTTTGATTCTGGGACAGTTGTAATCATGCTTTTGTACAACCCAGAATAACATGAAAGTTGTCTCGGATTGAAATACTGCGAGTAACCCACCCTATGCCATGTTCAAATGCCACGCCTACTCCGTCCTAGGGGTATAAGAAGAGTCTGTCGGTGACAATCGACGCAACTCAACTAACCATACAGGAGTTCCTTTAGGGCATTTTTAGCCGGGCATTCTGTTGGGTCTTTTTTGCTTCATAGACGAGTACATTTAGTACTTGCCAACTTCATACTCGCTGCACAAAAGGCACACCGACCTGCAACCGCAAAAGTGCCTTCAAGTCCGATTTCTGGCCAAACTTTCTGACATCACCGAGAGCCAGATTCAGGCATCAGTATCGTTCGATTACAAGGTATAGGAGCAGTCCCGGTTGACGAGCGGGCCATTTTAGCACTTTGCGTACTTTCCCAATTTTCAAAACAAACGCTGTCGTCCGATCTACCAGAGCCTCTTTCGTGAGACAGTTTTTACCATGGTAGCTCAATGAGCTTGCTCCAGCTTCACAAGAGTTTATCGGCTTTACCAGAATGGAACCCGAAAACCTGAAATAGTGAAGCAGCAAAAGTGCGCACAAATGGCCCCTCCTCCTCCCTTTCCGTCGCCCTAACCTGCCCGCCCAAGCTTTTGTTAACAGGAATATCGCGACCCACGACTGACTTATGGACCCACAAGATCTTGACCTAGGCGGCACTACGACATCTGCCCCACTCCCTTTTGAAGTAGGATCGGTATCGTATGTGCGCCAGCAGGCTGCCCTTTCCCTTTTAGCATGATGGCTATATACTTCAGACTTTGAACATTGGACTTTAGACATGGACATGGCTTAGAGCAATCACACTTTCTCAACCCTACGTATCGGGTGAGACAGTTTTTCGTGATAGCTTTCTAAGCCGATTCCTCTGAGCTCTCGTTCAAACAGCAACGAGCCGCCAGCTACGGTCGATAACAAAGGCGGGGGGGGGAGGCATGTTTTTGCATTTCTCACTTTTTTTTATAATTCATAGCATTTAACAGGTTCTTCCGTTTTTGTGAGATCTGTGATTGGAGTCCCGTGAAGCCACCCGCTTTGACCCAGAAGCCTTGACAGGCTCCTTCCATGGCTGGCTTGCTTTTACAAGCGTGAGAACACACTTATTACTCTCACCAAGCACCAATTCCAAAAAGCTCGCACGTAAGCATTCGTCATGCAAACTAGTTCTCGAGATCGTCGACAGGAATTTCGGGTGGCATTTCTGTTTGCGCACTTTCAATTCTAGCGCGGCAGAAAGAAGGACGTTTAGTAACGCGAAGAACGGAAAGTGCCCTGCCTCCCCACCCCCCCATACTTCACCCGCGCTCCACAGCCCCCCCCCCTCATAGCTCCATCCCACCTGTGCGCGCCGCTCCGCATGACTCCACCTGCTTAATCACTATTCTCTAAGTACAGTCTCAAGCAATTCTCCAAAACAGTGGTCATCGAGCTAATTCTATAATGAAGTCGTCTATGCAAAATTAACAATGCCGCCACACAACAAAGCACATGCTGGCATCCAGCATGGTTCGTAAGAAGTTCTAGCTGAGTTCACACCACATAGGCGCTCCCAAAACCATGACTCGAAAAGAAAGAAGTTGCCACACCGCACAGAAAATGGTCCAAGTTGCGTTTCTCGGCGCCACCGTTCGGGCTAGGCTGGGCGGGGGCATGCGTGCCACTTTTCGCTACATTCCATCGCCGTGTTCATTCTGTGCTGACCAAGAGTTTCACAAGGTATTCTCTACAACAGGTTCCCGACAAGCGGCTCTTCCACAGACTTCGAGTGCGGCGCGTCCTCTCTCGTTTCGCGGCTTCAATAGCATTTCGCAAGCGAGGCTCTTTGATGGCTCGACCACGACGGATGGGACCAGGGGCTATCCGAAAACGCAACGACGCCCTCCCCCCTTCTATACAGCCAACTCGGCCCGGGAACTACATATATCAACTAACATGCCAGCGCAAGCTCCAATCTCATTCCCTCATGGAGACCAGCCTGTTTCCTATACTTCCTCCCAAGGACTTCTATTCTTAAGCAAGTTATTAACAACAAAACAGCCCTTTCAGCCGAGGAGCAAAAAACCACCCGGCGCTGACCAGGGGTAACATCCCCACACGTTGCTGGCGAAACTCTGCAGAACGGATATCCCGTCCTCCCCATTTTCAAGCAAAAGATCACCAATCAGACCTTCACACCTTGTAAGTTAAAGGCACATCAGCTGGTAATTTGCACGCAGATGGACCTATCATTGTCGCTTTTTCCAGTTGAATGCGCCGTTCCCGAGACTAAGGAGGGACAGTGCAAACGGAAGGTCCAGCCGTAGCCGCGTGGGCAGAGATACCCACGCTTCAGCGGTGCGGGGTATGGTGCGCTTCTAATTCGCCACTAGATACCGCCGCAGATATTCTGTCCACCTCCTGCTCAGACGCAATTCTTGGCGCCTACGGACAGTTTCCTGAGACTGCATCCCACCGTCCATATTGCGGAGGGGGGCACTGGCTTCGCTCGCACTTTATTCGCCACCATCGTAAAATGCAGTCACTCCGAGCGCAGTTCTTTCGCCCTCACTTGTAACTCCGGACAATTTGCTCTCTAGCCCCCTCAAGCACGTCGGTTGCAAGCAGGGAAGACCTTAGTCAATTCAGCATCCGCGTCACCCACCACCCCAGATCATGGTCATTTCAGTACACACATCTGGCGCAGTTTAGCTTGGTGGGGGCACGCTGGTTCTCATCAACCGCTGCACAATTCTCCTACGGATACCTGCAAATCTTGCAAAGCAGACCCGACGCTTGCTCTTTCCCCGCGCTGGGTTTTCACTCCAGACCAATCAGCCCGCTGACAGGTTCCCTACTCAGAAGCTGAGCACGGGTGAGGACTTACAGGGCACATAGTAAACAAACACAACCCGGGGGCGAGCCGAGACAAAATGCCCCACCCCCCCCTCGTCTCAGAGCTGGAACAGCCGCCCCTATTCCGTGCTTACTCGTTCACTTGCAGAGCGGACTATAAAAAGTCTAGAAGCACGCAGCGTCAGAAGCGGCACAGCGAAGGATTGAGCTCAAAGTCGCGGAGGCTTGTACTCGGATCCCCGTAAACAGTCTTACCGAAACAAATTTCCAATCGCGACTGTGTTTGATTATTCCACATTACCTAAGCGACCACGCCCCATGCTGCCAATAATGGGGCGTGCGAGAAGCCCAACGACATTCACAAGCTTAATCGTACTGGATTGGACCTTATGACTTTTCAACGTAGCAGAAAGGTGGACTTAAAGACACGGTCCGCACCCCTTTCCTTGATCTGATTTGCAAACGCTTTTCCTGAACAAGGTGGTACGGACTACAAGCGTAGAGAATATGCCGCTATTGTGATTCAAACACTCGTGAAAAAGCCGCACGACATTGATGAAGCCATTGCCCCGCCCACTGTCCCATACCACACCCAGCGTTCATTTCTATCGAGTCCGTGGTGGTGCACTCGTTACCTACCAACTTTTAGCAACAGTTATGTGATAAGGGTAAAGCGTTGATACGACAATGTATCAACAAGTGAAGCTCGTCCAAGCTTGTCCTCTTTCCGCTTTACACCCGTAGAAGCTCTCTACGGCAATGGGTCCTTTCAAGGGCATTTTGCTCGGTTTTTCCTTTAGTTTTTCCTTCACAACGGGGTTATGCACACAATGTTAATACATTTGTGTCCTGTAATTCACTAGTTTTGATGGGGAGAAGTGTATTTGATGCTAATAAGATGAGTATACGGCCTGCAATAATCGCTACGGACAAAGTCCAAACTGTTTGTTCTGCAGGCGAATAGTGTAGGCTTCTCTTATGATTGTTGCAGAGGCTGCTGGCGCCAATCACCTTGGGTAGGGGGGCACACATGTAAGCGCTTGTCAGCACTAAAAATTCTGTGAACTGTTTACAAGTAAATACAGGACAACCTTGCTAACACCCTGTAAGAGTTGTCATCATCTGTAACCATCGTGTGAACTCCTGGCAAACGTGTCAAGATTTGGAAAAAAAGGGAAATGGCGTTCCAGTGACTACCATATCACCAAGCTTTTAGGGATTCACAGCTTTCGCAGTATGACCCAAGACAGGGGAAGCTAACAGGTGTAGCCACCCCAAGCTTTCAGCTCTCGGTTTTTTTTCTTTGCAAGATCGTAGCAGAGGATGGCATGATGAGATAATCTAGGCTTCTAGACATTCAGCGTGAGATCCATTCAGCCTCTTTCGCGCTCTAATAAAGTTCAGCACAGGATCACACGATAAGACCCTTAGTCACTGCAAGTTGAGAATGTCAGAAGCTCACGGTTTGTCATTTGATCACAAACCGTGCGCTGTTAGCCATTTTAAGCACCAATAGAATTTTTCTAGTTGCGTTCAACGTAACAGAATGTATTTCTGACTTTTGAGGGTTCGCGAGAGGGCGTTCAGCCACACCCCGTTTAGCTCTTCCACTAACGACTATAGGAGAACCGCTCGCCCCAGTCATCGTGCCCACTGCTTCTAATTGTAAGTAATAACGGCCCTCAGTGCGAAAGGCCAGGGCACAGGACTGAGATCTCGTTCGGAAGATCCCCACGGCAATTATTGGGCTAATATTGCGAATTGCGAGGCCAGCCGGACACAGGATATTTATCCCAGAAACTGTTGTCACAGACACTGTTGAAGCCAATGGACCGAGCTCGGAGAAGAAGATCTCGTCACCCCGCCATGTTTGAATGCATGGCGCAGTCCGACTTCCTCCTCCTCCGATATTTGGAGTGGAGAGGTTCCCTCGCCCACATAAACGCCTCAAAGGAAAGGGTGCTGCCAGCTGTTAGACAAGAGCTCTCACCCACACTGGTCAGTAATATACAATTCCCGTATCTGGCTCTGCCAACTTCGGTAACGGCATTTAGTGGTCGCACCAGTGTTGATCGGATTCATCCCCCGGTTGATCGTCGAGTTTTGAGTGAGACCAGCAAGACCTTTAACTGTTCTCATGGCTTGCCACAGTAGACCAGCGCTCTCCGTCCTAGAGTTTTGATTAGAACTTTTGAAGAAAAGCGCTTCCAGGAATCCGATTGGTCGGCGATCTCATCCTAGCACGAACAGGAGGGATACCGAAAATCTGACAGCAGATTAAGTGAAAGGGATACGAAGCGACTGATTCGCTAAGCGTCTTAGCACACCTTATTCCGAGGATAGACCTTTTCCACACCTTAGCATGTGTGGAAGTGGGCAGGGTCAAATATCTGGAAAATCAAGGAAATGGTACCCAGGAGATTTCGGGAAGATGCTAGGTTGGATGGGAATGGGTGTCATACTGGAATCGCCTTTTCGCCATGTCGATCCTATACCTTTGGCAGAGAATCGCGTTTCTGTTAATATTTTACCTCACTGTTCGCTTCTCCAGCTTCACGTGCGCTATATTTTACCCCTCCTGCCTACCGATGGTAACTTTGTGTGAAAAAGATGGTGAGAGGGGTCGTAAAAAGGGAGAATATAATGTTTTCTGTATTCAGATTGATACCCAAACCTTTCTTTGGTACAAACTGCCCACATTTGCACTCAGTGAACGCGACCTTGCCAAAGACCGTTCAGACCGAGTTCTTGGTTTGCAGAGCCCTTTTTCTGCCGTTTGAAGGCCTTGTCGCTCTAAAATGTTAAACTAGTGGATTAATGGTTTTACAGTGTTGTTCGCTCCGGATGATGGAGCGTGTTAAGGAATGGCAGGAGGGGGGGGGGGAAACGTCGCAGCTCCTTCTCCTGTTGTTCTTCCAGCAAGAGAAAAGA